TTGCAAAATATATATATTATTAAATTATCTCTAATAAATTTTAACTATTGGATAGCTTTAAATTACACGTGCCCCATATCTTATTATATTATTATATTACTTATTGCATTTTTTGCAATGCAAAGACAAGGCTCAAACCTCGATTTATCTATCTATTCCTTGCCACCATTTTCGCCAATTATTATCAATTCAAAAATGTAAATGGCGTTATAAGGATAAAATAAAATAATCTGGTGAAATACATACAAACCCAAATTATTACCATTCATTATTTACAAGAATTTGGACGAGCATGCCACTGGAACACTAATTTAAGTTTCATGGTTATCAGTTTATGATAAAGATGGAAATAAGAAATACAACTAAATCATCAATGATCTCAAAGATCATTCAAAGGGTACTAAATTCTATGTGGTCGTCTTATTGCGAATCTTACTACTGAAATTGTCTTCACAATCATGGGACAAGTCACATGAAAAACATTATAAGAAGACAACTTGTATAAATTGCTACTTAATCAAAAAGAGATTCTCACATTATTTAGAAAAGTTTAGAAACTTTAACCAGAAAATAATGAAAATAGGGGTCAGAAATTATTACACTCCTTGAAAGAAACGTATAACCCATATTGTAAGCGATTTGTATAATATAATCAATTAACGTATTGTTTTGTTAGTTCTTCTTTTCAAACTTTAGTAGCTTTTAATTTTGGATTTTTTTATACTTATTTTGTATATCAAATTCTTCTTAATACAAGAAATTAATAATCATATTACAGATGTAAGATAAAAATAAACATGGTCAATAAGAAACACAAGATATTCATTTAAAAGTTGATTTTTACCGTACACATATATGATTATGGAATAACTAGTAATCAAGCCTGTACATATGCACAGCTACAAATAAAATATTATATGACATAAATGTAATAAATAATGTACTTACACTATTAAGCTTAGGGTTGTAGAGAACGAAAGTGTTTTGGCGAAGATAATTAGGATATTTATACTTAACCCCACAGTTTAGAGCCCTTGGATCACGAGCAGATCTACAGCCTAGATCGTGCACAAAAAAACAAGAACGTGTAATTCAAAGCAACAAAATGTCCTTTCAATTCCATATTTATGAGTGACATGTCAAAACATTTTGACCGTTCACCGTAGTCCATAGCTCGATGTCGCATGGAGTAAAAGATAGGGGAAGGAGAGGGAGGGGGGGGGTTGTTTGTGGAGAAGACTACTTAGCCGGCCGGAACAACTAAAGTATGAATGGGTCGATCGGGCTGTTCAGACGACCTAGCGTTTGAGAAACGACTTAATCCACCACAACGAAGATGATCAAAGAGGAACAGTAGGTTGTAGGCTACGAGCTGAAGACCTTGCAAAGGGGACGACCTAAAGACAAGGACGACCTGATTAAAGATAAGACGACTCAAAATCATAAATTACCATATTAGACGACTTGAGGATCTATGATCAGGACGACTTAATGGAGGCCTATTACGATAAGAAGGAATATAATAAAGATAAGAAAGAATCTAATGGTGACCATGATTGGATAATGATAAAGGTGAATACCAAGTAGATAAAATCAAACTCGGGCAGCTAGGCAGGCTGACTGCAGGCACTCGGGCAGACAAGCAGGCTGACCGCGGGCACTCGGAGAATTCAAGCAGCAGGTAACCCTTATATATAAAAGGAGTTGAGGTACACCCAAAATACATTCAATCTTCTCTACATATTCCATATAGTTCTCTAGATACAGTGTATACCATCTTCTTTCCATACTAACTTGAGCGTCGGAGTGCTTACGTTGGGAGTCTCTCCCGTCTCTTTATTTTGCAGGTAATCGGTTGTTTTCAGATGTTCGGAGTTTTGCAGTAGCCAATTCAACCTAGATCTAGGTCTCTGACACATCACATTTCCTTACAAAAGCCGTCCATGAAGAGCTGAGGCCATCATATGTAAGATTTTCAAAATGCAGTGACCTTACACAAGCCACATGCCCAAGTTCTCATATGTCTTAGTGAGGCAGAATTTCAAAAATGGTCCACATGCCGGCCATTTTCCAAAAAAGATCCATCATATAGGACGTCATCAAGAATGGTCCATTAAGTTTCTACTTTCATTAAAATTCATACAAAAACCGAGATAGTGTACTAAAAGTGTTGTCATTTTTAGTACACTATGTTGAATATTGTACGAGTTTTGATTAAAGTGGTCAACATAGTGGGTCAATATTGATGACACTCTATACGATGAACTTTTTTTGAAAAATGACTAACATAGTGGACTGAAAATAAAATTTCGCCGTCTTAGTAATAACTACGAATATATGATGTGATCACTTGCATATGGATTGTCTACAGTTGGATGTGAAGCTGTATATTATTGAATGGATATTTATGCATTGTCCACCTAAACAAGTCTATCTAGGTTAAATATTGGTGAGTCCTAGTTCCCTAATAATTATATAATTATATTAACTTAATTTAAATAAATCATGGAAGAGTTGTACTTATTTATACTCATGGTTCAAGTAATATAACATAAATTCGAAATATATTTTATCAAATTCCAGTTAAGAAAAATGTTCTGCAACGTAACATCATCTCATGCAAAAATATAATGTTAAAAAATGTATTTGTCATTCAATATTTTTTTTTTTTGGTTGCAAACAAGTTTCTCTCAAACCTACTAAAATGGTTGATAGCTTGTAAACTATTAAAATTGTGTTATGTAATTTGTTTTCTTTGTAAAGGACGCGAAGGATCTGCAAATTGTAAAGGATCTTGTAAGTTTAAAACCTTCTTTAGGAAAAAAACGGACCTTCCAACGTAATTTCAAAATAAAATCTCATTTTAATGATATTTTGGCTTGGACCATATTAACTCAAAAAATAATATAAGGAACACAGCTGCACTTTCATTCTATCTTATATTCATCCAAAGCATCATTTCAACATTTCATTTTGTACCTTACAAGAAAGGATATATAATCATGTAAAATGTGGAAATCCATGCAGAATCTTTTAATCCGCTTAGGTAAAATGCACTCCTAATCATGGGAAAAGGATATCATTTTCCGGCTTTGTTGAACCTAAAATTCATGTCATCTACTAATTAAACCATATAGTATATTGTCATTGATTATGAAATCCTAGGTACTTATTACTAAATATGAAAGACTCCTGGTATTGACCCGTGATTAGAACAATATTGGTCATAATTTTTTATTTTTGTTTTTCAACTTAGCATATCGTGATGGAGATATCATAATGCGCCCAATACTAGTTGTGTTTTGTAAGCATATGACTATGGATGTTAATTTTTTATCTTATCCACTAAATTATTAGCATTATGGGATGCTTAAAATGCTATTCATGAGGTTTATGGAGTATACATAGTTCTAAAAAATTCAAATGATTTATCAAAATCNACTCACAACTCACATGTGCTTGGTTATAGGTAAGAAAGACATAAATGGCCATAAATACTTTATAATCATAATTAAGGATAAAAAATAGAAAGAAATTAACTCGATTTGATTTGGTTGGGTCAATATCCCGATGGACTAGGTTCAAGTCAGATCATCACACACAAAATGGTCCAAAATCTTTGATGATCTGAATTTAACTTCGTGTAATTAAGATTTAAACCGAACTTATTGAATTGGGATTAAAAATAACAATGAGTGAGGTCGGAAAGCCCGGTTCATATTGCCAACTAAAGTTAGGTCGAAAAGCTAAAAAATATCATGAAAATTTTAACTGATTACATGAGATGAGAGACTGTAGTCAGTAGTATAAAACTATAAATCTATATCTATATATATATAATAAGAATTACCATAAGTCAAATTTCAGTTAACATTAATTACCTACCATTCTTAGTAACTTTTTTTTCCTAATAATCATATAAACAATATATTAAAAGAGTGATTAATATGCTTTGTTATATAGATACGTGATTTTCACTTAAAATTGAAATGGTAACAGACTTTGTTCATTAAAAATTGACAATATTTTAACAAGATTTTTCAATTTATGAGGCTTTGTTCATAAATTTTTCAACATGTAACGTCATGTTAACCATTTTTCAAAGCCTGTTAATACATTTCAAGTTTTAATAAGAATTACCATGTGAATATGACAACAATATTTATTTATTAATTCATTTCAATTTTTAATATTTCCCAAACTTCAAATAATCATATTAACAATACGTTTATATGACAACATGTTTAATGATTAATGAATATTTATATATTATTTTATTAATATTTATGTGAATAAAATAATATTTTATTATATTTTTTTATTAATGTACAGTGAATATGATTTTCAGAATCGAACCATCATCGAAACGATCAAGTTATTCTATTAAGTCATTTGTAGTTTGTTCAAATTTTAATTTATAAACATTTTAATATCAATATATATACATTTTAATATATATATATATATATATATATCTAGAGTACTTTTTGTAATAAATTTTAATAAAATGTGTTACTTAAATATCTAAACAATTTATAAATTCAAATGTTAAAACTAATTGATAAACAATTTATAAATATGTAATTTTATTTAAAATAATCTTAAACATAACAAAATTTATTTAGAAAATCGTAACGATCCTACCAGTCCAACCGACTGATGTTGACGGATTCAATAGTAAATATTTTATTCAAGCGAACTACACTGTTAATAACCCTGTTCTCGGTCCATTTGGTCGGACTGTGTCCAACTTGGTTTAATTTAAAAACAATGATTAAATTATAATTAATGATATTATATATTTAATTTAGAATATAATTGTAATATTATTTTCCCGTGCATCGCACAGAACACACACTAGTAGTTCAATACAAAAATAACAATGATTATTTTTTTTTAGAAAAAAAAAATAAAAAAAAAAGGGACAAACAAACAAACAATCAAGTTTTAATCGGAAAGGAAATTGGATGTCTGCGAAAAAAACTTAATTAAAAGTTAAAAATAAAAAAATAAAAATTGTGGGACCCACCTCAGTGTTAATTGCCAGCTTGAAAGCCGCAAAGCTGCCCTTACATAAACCCACAGTCAGACTCATTTCTCACAGACATTTTCACAAACACTTTGCATTCACATCTTAAAACCATTTTTATCCCTTCCTTTACAGAAGCTAAAACCGCCATGGCCAGACCTCAACAGCGATACAGAGGCGTCCGCCAGCGCCACTGGGGATCTTGGGTCTCCGAAATCCGACACCCTTTACTGTAAGCTCNTCTTGTAATAAAATATATTTTTTACTGTGAAAATTATAACCATTTACTCCTCCCTGCAAAATCCAGAAAGACGAGAATATGGCTAGGCACGTTCGAGACGGCGGAGGACGCGGCCAGGGCCTACGACGAGGCCGCCAGGATCATAAGCGGGTCGAGGGCCCGAACAAACTTCGCCCACAATGCAAACGAAGCCCAATCCTCACCGTCCAAGTTTCTCTCGTCCACGCTCATGGCTAAGCTACAGAAATGCCACACGGCGTCCCTGAAAGTTGGAAAAACGCAAAATTTTGACAGTGGGCCGGGAAATGGGCCCGGGTTCGGCAGTGATAACGATCTGAAGAGCCCAATTGCGAGTCAAAGCACGGGCTGCGTGAGCCCGAATGGAGACGTTGAACAGCAGTTGGTTAGGCCTCTTGAGGAAAATCACATTGAGCAGATGATTGAGGAGTTGCTTGATCATGGCCCTGTTGAGCTTTGCTCTGTTATGCAGAGTTAAAAAAACAGAACAAATTGTACCGAAACAAAAAACAGAACAATTTAATTACTTCAAAAAAAAAATATTGTACTATTATAATTTACTACTTTTTTATTTTGGCTTTTAATTTTCTTAAATTGAAGTTATATTGCTTCCACTGATTTCATATTCCATTTCTATAACTTTGGCGCCTTGTAATTAGACAAATAAGATGAGGTCGTTCTTAGAGTGGTCTCGTAAGTCATAATCCATGTCACAAATGACTGCAATTCTATTAAAAAAAAGTTGTCATGGTTAAGGTATCAAATATAAATTGAGTGAGTTTATTATAAGAACAAGGTAATTTTATATATTCATCTATCAAAGATCCATTTTCTAGGTTAATTCCTTGTGTGGGTAGTTCTCACACGAAGGGTTTGTTACCATTTGATCTATAAATATCCACATAAATGTAGAAAAAAAAAGCCTCGACCTTAAATTTATTGGGGTCGGCAAAATAAGTTCGAATTTGCGTATTTTGATTTCATTTTATCTTATGCTATAATTTAGTATGTCAGCATTCCATGTACTATACTACAAAACATGTCGTTTTTTGTACGCAGACTTGTTCGGAACTTAATATACAATCAATATCATACAAAATCAAAATTGTACTCATACTAAGTTCAATATTTAACTTTTTTTTTCCCTTCATGTTAGTCTATTGCAGTTAAATTTACCATGAGATTGGAGGCGATGATCACGTTTAATTAACTTTTTAAGGGTCTCAAAGCCCCATAGCATGAAAAAAGACAAATGCATCCGTAATAATTAGTTTTAAAGACAAATTCTCATCATAAGTCCTATTTATCTCTAATTTCAAGTAAATAATCAGGTGTTACTCACTATTTTTCAATTTTCTTTTTGACCCGCACAATGGTTTTAACGGCAAACCTTTGTGTTTTCCCTTAACGTGACAACATATTAATCTCTCTACACATGATAGTGTCCAAAAAGCCATTTTAGGAGGAAGGTTGCCACGCGCATTCATTTTTTGACATTAGATTTTAATGTAAATTTTGCATTAAGGGAGCTAAAATGTTACCTGGCTATTGACTTAATTGCAATCTCTTTTTATCTTTAGCCCTTTTTTCTATATTTTTGTTTCTATGGATGTAGCACGTCATGTTAGCTTTACAATTTATATTTCTGAGTGATTGACTGGATTTTTAATTAAGTTATATATAATCGTGATCAAGTTGTCGATAATTCTACGCAATGAGTAGTGGTCCTTAAGGCAAACTTTATTCAGATCTCTGAAGTCGATGCACATTCACCACTTGTCCTCACCTTTCGTGACTATAACAGAGTTCGATAACCACTCTAGGAATTGAATATGTCCTATGTGACCTGCCTTTAACAACTTCTCGACCTCATCTTCGATCACTAGGTAGAGTTCTGCACCAAAATTTCTTCTCTTTTGTTTAGCCAGTTTTATGGCTGGATCGATAATCAACCTATGCTCTGCCACCTCCGAGCTTATCCCAGTTTGGTCATCCGCCGAGAATGCGAAAATATCCGCATACGCCCTCAATAATGTAATGAGAGAGGTTTGAATGTCGTCATTAAGATATCGTCCTACGTTGGTTATCTTCCCGATTTCTCACTCTATGAGCTCATCCTAGGAGGACAGCTCAAGCTTCTTTTGACTTTTTTCTCGATTTTAAATCTCGAGCTGGTCCTGCTCCTGACCTCTCTCTTTCCCTTGGGCCTCTTAATTTTTATCATGACCTGGTAGCACGATCTAGCTTGTCGCTGGTCTCCTACCACCTCACTGACTTGGTCTCCAACTAGGAACTTTATCTTCATGCAGTAAGTCGAAACTGTAGCCTGGAATGAGTTGAGACTGGGGCGTCGAAGAAAAATGTTGTACGCTGAGTTTGCATCGGCCACCAAGAATCTGACCATCTTGACCTTCCTAGAAGATGACCTCATTGCCATTAAACTCATAAAGAGTTGTGTGAACTGGCCAAGTCTTGACATCCAAGTCCATATGGATTACAGAATTGGTTAATGAACTAGAAGATGACCCTCTCGAAATTGTATACCAACTCGACGGGCAACTGGTGGAACCAGTCTTGAGTCAACCCTTTTAGTAGAGTGAGGGATGCCCTAGAGCAAATAACATCGTTGTACATATGGAGGACCGCTGTGCACTCAAACGTTCTCAAATGTCTAACTGGATCCGTTGAGACGTCGTTATAAGACAAATTCAACTCGCGAAATTTATTTGGCAAGTATTCCTTCAAGATTTCTTTAGAAAATGGATGACCATGGATCCTCCCCTGCCCTTGACCCAGGCCTGCAATTCTCACATGTTGGCTGCCAAACGCTCAAGTGTAATGTCACGAGATGATCGCGATATGGTCATAGGCAATGATATCGACCTCGCTTCTCCTTCTTCTGGCTTTCTCTGAGGTTTTGGTTGTGGCATGGCTGGGTTTTGCTGGTTAGACCCCCGAGCTTGAGCTATGGCCTTACCCACAATTCGATCCACCTCTGCCCTTGTAAGATGAATAACCTAGTCTCCCGTAGGGACCTTCTGTCCCCTAAGATTCACTAGTTGACCCTTTAACCGATCCATCGGTCGACCTCTGGGTTCACATGTTGTTGCACCTCAGTACCTTGATTCGTTGTCTGCTCTTGTACCTCTTGGACCCCCACCTCTTTTTGGATGAGAACCGACTCACGCGCAGTCGGAGGTCTTCTTTATGTGTTCGACATTGAAGTCAACACCATGTGAGGTGTCGGCAACGTCCCCTGCGGCTTGAAAAGTATGCCTTTGATGCTGACTAGCCCGACGAAGGGCCTCATCCAAGCGCTCGCGACATCCACGCCTCATCCAACTCCTTGGTTAATTCTTTTTTGGAATTTTCAGCCGCGATGATCTTCAAACTCCTTTGGATCTTTTATTGTGAGAAAAATCGATTAGCCTCTTATATATTCCCACTGGCGGCGCCAATTTGATGGGCAAATTGTCTTGGACTAGGTTGAAAGCATGATTTCACAAACAACCACCATCTCGGAGCTCCAATGACCAGCAAAACTCCGGGGAGGGGTCCTGGCGGAAAACTTGTGAAGCTCAAGTCAGTATCTTGCTCATGAGAAAATCTGATAGTATGTCTGCTTAGTATGCGTATATGCGATGTGTAAAGTAAAAGAAACTAGTTATCATTATATGCCTAGGGTAACTTAGCCTCCAAGAGAGTCCTAGTTAGGAAAGAGATCTTCATTTATCTACTTTCCTAACTCACCTAGTCTCTAGGATCTAAGATCCCTTAGCAAGATAAACTTTTCATCCATAAAGGACTCTTTTACATCTTTCCATGCGGCTCTTTGGTCCTCGTGTCATAATTACGACCTCCTTACCTACCTGCCATAAGTTGTACCTAGGTTGCAACCACGACCTACGGGTCATGATGTCCCATCAAATATCCAACTGCTTACTCTAACCTCGAGCTATCCGAACTAGTCCTAGCTATACCCTGGGTTGCCTAAGCGAAACTCAGGACAGGTATACGTATTGAAAACGGGCTGAGTTCCCTTGAACCGGCCACAACCAAGCTAACCGTTTTAGCCGGTTCACCGAACTATTTTGGGTATTTAAATATAGTTGTTTCTACATTATTTTTTAAAATTTATATTTTAATATTTTATTGTGAAACCATATTCAGTTTTATTAAAAAACTATATTTTTTACTAATAAATCAGACATACTCTAAGGCTCAGTTTGGTTGGCCGGATTGGGAGGGATATCACCCCATTTCATACTATTTCACTCTTATTAAGATGTTTGGTTCAAACATGCAAAGCCCTTGAAAAGGACCATGGCCCGATATTTAATCAAGCAATTTCATTATATCATATCCCACCTTCTAAATGGGATGTGTAATCCATCACAACTTTGCCTTTAACTTTCCATAGATGCCCCTTTTATTTCACTGTCAATCTATCGAACTAAAATCAGAAAACCACCATATTCACAAGAACCTCATACGAGCTCCGACGAGAAGTCAACGGCGGCGGTGTCCAACGACGGAGGCATCTAGCGGCGACGGAGTGAAGGGGATAGACAGGCCATAAGGGGTCTTGGTGGTAGCAGTAATTTAAGGGAGGGGAGAGTTAGGCCCTTTTGAGGTGGTTTATTATCCTTGTGCGAGCACGTCGGAGTTCTGTGTAAAGGCCGAGAGAAGACGATACGAGGAACGCGACAAAGATGCAAACGCAGAAAGATCGAACGGCGGAGAGCGTTGCTTCGTTTACATCGAGCCCTTATCGAATCTGAATCGGGAACAATTCACCAGATCGGAAAATGGATCAAAAAAATTCCCTTTCTAAAAAAAATATATTGAGATCACTTACGAAAAAATTGGATTAACTGACAGCGAAAGTCTTCACATTGATCTCTGAGCTTTATAGGTGGGTTGTGAGAATCATTTTCAAATTATTTCCCAAGTTTTGTTGAAGAAATCTTTATTTGTGAAAAATGTTTTATATTGCTGATTGAATGGCAACATTGGAAAATTTAATTTCACCTAAAGGGTGAAAAAGGAATTTTAGCATAAAGACTATATTTATGACTTAGTAACCAAACGAGTTAATAGACATTTTTTATCAAAAGATATCACTTGATTTCTTTTATGGGAATTAATCAAACTCAATCATTCAAAGTAACCAAACTCACCCTAAGTCTAGAAACTTACTCCCATGGAATTGTCATTTCAACAAGTTTTTCGTAATTGATTTTTTTTTTTTTTTCCNAAAAAAAAAATGCGCTTAGACAGACATGTTAACGAACCAATTGAATATCCACATGCATAAAATATATGCTACATTCAATGAATGGCATAATTTTATTTTATTTTTTTAAAAAAAACCATAAAAAATTGAGCATTGTCCAATAAAAATACGTTAATTTATTGGGTCTTATCAAACAGGCACATATATTTTGCAAATTAATCAAATGAGATAGATATATTTGAAGTGGCTGAAAAATTTAATACGTTATGTTCTTTTTTCTTATTCATCCTACGTGGAAAATGTGAGAGTAGGCTAAAAGCGGGTTGAAAGCGGGTCAAAACGGATCGCACTACTAAAAAGTGTCTCATATGCGCAAGAATTCTTATACGAATATTGAATAGAATTCAGGGACGGATCTACATTCATTCTAGGGGGCCATGGTCCCCCAAACTTTTTTTAATTCTTTAGTACTATGTATATATAATATATAATACTATGCATATTTAATTGTTTAACCCCTTAAAATATAAAGTAAAGTAAATAATATATTAAATAACAAAAATTCAAACAGAATCATTTTATTTTTTTTGAGGCGCATGATTCAAATTTTTTTCCTTTAATAAGCAATAAGCATATATAATATAATAAATTAAATTAGTTAATTTAATAGCTAAATTTATTTATTTGAGAATTTTTTTTTGAGAAAATTTATATATATGAAAATTTTTCATAGATATAAATGACAAAATTAAATAGCTAAATTTATATATTTGAGAAAATTTTAAGTTGAGTTAATTTGTGTTCTTTATTTTTTATAGATGTAAATGACAAAATTAAACAATATCATAAAACTTATATTAATATTTTAAGTATTAATTTATAAAAAGACCCCGCCCCCTATGGAGTGGGGGCCCCAGCCTTGTGCCTTGGGCAACTGGCCCAAGAGCCGGCCCTGAGTACCTTTTGAAATGTTTTTTTGTAAAAGAACGAAATTGAAAACCACAATCCGAAGAAGACGAAAAAGTTGCCTTCGCGAAACATACAAGACGAAAATTACAATTTTCTCTTTCCATAAATTCTCACTTATTTATCCCTTACATATAAACTACTTACTTTGTAATTGATTTAAAATTGTTTGGAGAACGCAAAACCCACAATTATGACTATCCCAAATTACAATAACAAAGATGGGAAAAGAAGGTTGGACTTTGAAGCAATTTCTACTTTGCCAAGCAACAAGTTATTTACAAATACATATATAAGGATTTTCACAGCACTCGGTAACAACAAATTGTGTCTTAAATTCAACATATTAGTAGTGTTGAAGCACAACAAACACATGGCTGTGTACTAATCATTTGGAAAATTTGGACCACAAGTATACGACAAAGAATAACAAAAGCCCAAAGAGAACGACGTGCATGACATGGCTCGACCCTTCCCAGATGATGCTCTTGTTCAGTCTCCTCATGTTGTTTTTCACCCCTGCCTGAGCTTTGATCAACGTCATTTGCTGTAACAACAGAAGTAACACCAAAAGGTTACAACTTAAAAAAGAAAAAACAAAAAAAAAAAAGGAATTAACCTCGTGGTATTTCAGTCCCACTAATAAACAGAAATAAGTTTCACGACCAAATTGGAGCTTCAGAATGTTTAACATATGTCCCAAACAACCGCTAGTGTGCTAACAAATTACGTCATAAACAGCCCCACCATATCCCCCATGCCCAATTATGCATAAATAAATAAATAATATGAATAACGAACAGCTTAGCTATTCAATGAAGGTCCATTAGATTTTAAAGCTTAGAGTTTGTGACATACCAGCTGATTGAGGAAATCATTTTGAAACTTTGCTTCTGTCTCAATTTCTTGAGCTACCTGAAATGTCATAAGGGAAAATATGAGACTACATAAAAAAAATAAAAAATAAAAAATAAAAGTTCGCTTATATAAGGCTGTGTATCATGGAACAAGATCAGCAGGTCAGCATAAGCAATATATAGAGTTTGATACAAAGCCACAGGTCTTCAAAGACATGAAGTTTATCAGAAAGCCATGAAAGATGTTCTTGGAATTAGCTTAAAAATTGTGGTATCAGAACTTACATGCTGCCAAAACAAAAAATCCTAACTAGAGGAACTTCATCATCCTAAGCCAAATAATAATAAAAGTAATAATCATAATAATAAAAGCATGAGATTATTAAAGAAAAAAAATGGGTTTTAACTGTAGGCATCTGCATCACCTAAACCTATATTAATATAAAATTCAACAGATTCATAGAGATTGGACACTACACCTTGTGTAGAATTAATTAGCCAACAAACTTAAATTCCTAGGTCAATCGTAATTTTTCCGATACACATAAACCTATATTAATATAAAATCAAACGCCCAAATAAGTCTTAACACTAAATCAATAACATGATTAAGCTGTTTAAGTATTACTAGAGCAGCTATGGACTGTGTACATGAGATTATTAAATGAGCGCACTTATAATTTGAGGGAGGGAGTGAGCTTAAAAAATGTGTATCAGAACTAACATGTTACAAAATGAATCATAACTGAGGAACTTCACTATCCTAACCCAAATCATCGTTATAAGGTGAAAAAAAATAATATGGTTAAAGATTGGAAAGGGTTTAACTGCAGTATGGATCTTCACCACGTAAACATAGCAAGTACACTAACAGACTTATTTGGATTGGAGCATATAACTTGAGTAGAATTAATTAGCTAACAAACTTGAATCCTAGGTCAATCGTAATTTTTCTTTACGCACAAACCTATATAAAATGCAAACACCCATACAATTTTTAACACTGAATCAATATAACATGCTTAACAAGCTTAAGTATTACGTGAGCAGCTATATACTGTATACACGAGGTTACTAACAGAGACAATGAATAACCAAGGTTAAGGAGTGCCGAGGACACAATTTGAAAAATGTGTTAAAGCCTTCAACAAGAAGCGTACATGGATAAATTCTACACCAGAAACAGAACAAAGATTAGGCACAATGAGGCTAATGAACAGGTTCACTGCAATACCAATTATTATCCTTCCATTTATCCCTCAAGCTTTCAGCAAATTATCGTGAACCACATATCAATTAATGATGTTAAACAACAACAACAACAACAACAACATACCCAGTATATTCCCAACAGGTTGGGGTCTGGGGGGTCAGTTGTACGCAGACCTTACCCTTGTAATTACAAGGAGGCTGTTTCCGTAGGGACCCAAGGTGCATTGCGCCGTTTGATATATTTTTTTTTTTCTAGAAACTTCACTAATAGAAGAAGCACTAGAATTTAATTGAGCCATTTTGATCTAGTCCATTATTAGCACTATGCCAGGAGAATTGACAACAATGACTCTTCCAGCTCCATTTGCAATGGACAAACAATTAATGATGTTAAACAACATAATCTAATCAGGTGAAATCTTAATGTTGGTTAAAATGTGCTGGCAAGTAACTTCCCACAAAAATTGACTGAACAAGGAACATGTACAATCTTGTTTCTTTCAAAAACACCTTAATCATTAAGGAAAAAGGTGGCAAAAAAGGAAGAAAAATCATGAACATAAGATTCAAAATCAACATCCCCAAATTCATACCAAAACCGAGAGAAAAATACAGTCCAAACACTAGCACCTGGTCTACTTTAAGATTAAAAATGAACAATCTAATAGAACCATCGAATCGCAGCAAGTAAAATTAAAAACCAGTCTCGAAGCAGAGAAAAATTAAAATTAGAAACATTACATCACGCAGCCGTCGGACTTGCTTTCGAAGACCGGAGACCTCCTCATCAAAATCCGGATCGATCCGCACCTGAACCTCGTGCGAGCTGCTGTCGTAAGCCGCCGATCTCGTGCTCAATCCTTCTCTGGAATCGATCATTGAACAATTAATCAATTGAAACAGAAAAAAAAAAGGGGGGGAAATTGAAAAAGAAAAAATGTAAATTCCTATTGATTAAATTCAAAAGATCCGTATAGTATAAACGAATTAACCATAAAGTATATGGGTGAAATACCTCGATCTAAAGGGGTCAGCCATGTGGAGAAGATGAAGGCTCTTGAAAAAATTCAGAGAGGGTTTTAAGCTGGAAGACCAATTAAGAGATGTCTGTCCTCGATGTTTTAAGCTGGTTCGTTTTTTATATAATTTTTTAAAGATCAAATTGAATTTTAGGTGTATGTTTCAAAAATTAAAAAAATAGGCAATTTCATTCGACTTGCAGAAAAAATTTCATTTAGGTCTATATGATTCAAGACGTGCCTTTGGCGTTCCTCTGGCAATGAAATGTTTGCTTTGCAGTTGGCCAATTAGTTCTTTTCATACATTGAGTTGAACCGATAGGTCTTGTGTTAAGTCAGTCTAACCATTAAACTGACATATTTCTTTTACAAATATGCATACTTTTACTAGAAAATATCATATTTTAATAAACATCGTAAACATAAGGATAGGTGGCGGTCTCTTAGAGGATGGCGACATGCATGACGACGTGTGTCCTAGCAATTTGCTCAACTTGTTCAAGTGGTTTTTTCCGCATTGCAATGCGTTGTCACCTGGTGTTACTTCAACCACATAGACTTTCATGTTCCTCCCGATCTGATCTTTGAGCATCCGATCGACCAACTGTAGGTACGTCGCCTCAAAAAATTAGACGCGTTATTTTAAGTGGCCGAAATTGTTGATTTGGAGCCCACGTGGAATATAAATTTAAATGATGCCATTTATTTTGAAAACATATATTTATAATATAACAAAATAAAATGCGTGCCTTCAAGAGAAAATTAACACTGAATGAGCACTCAAAACTTGAAATTGATGAAGGGCTATTGCAGTTCAAAAAGAGAGGAACAAAACAAGAGTTTACACTCCAATTTTGGACGATTGAGGCGACGGGAAATCCAGTTTTTTCCTTAAAAAAGCTACTGATAAATGGTAAAAGAAGTGCTTACGTTGAAGCTCGAATTACCAATAAATAAAAACCCGAACCTTAAAATTAGTAAAGGACTATTATGACCCATGAAAAGAGGAAAAAGACAATAGTTCACCCATCAATTTTGGACAATATTGTCGGAATTGAGTGTTGAAACTTTCAAAATTTTCCAAGCTCGTCGGTGGCAAAGAAACTTCAACCTACGGTTCTTGGTAAATAGATTGAATGAGTGAACTATTGTTATGTTTCTCTTTCCATGGATTACAATTTTCCTTTATCAATTTTAAGGTTTGTATTCATATTTGTTATTAATTTGAACTTGAATCTGTCCATCACTCTCGGGCGGCCTTGATGCGGGCTAACTGAGACTCTCGGTCCTCCAAGGTTCGATGATATTGAGAATCTTTAGATTTGGAGAGAGCTCTGGGTGGGACTCCAAAGACACACAAGGACATTGATTATTCAGCAATAACATTTTTGCCGAGCGCATAATAAGAACTCTTGATAGGTGGTCAACTTGTTCTGGCAAAGCGACCACCGAAACATCGAATCAGGCCAGAGTTATGTGTAGGATGAGACCAATAAGATATCAGCATGGCACAACTTTATGTTTTGAACCCAGACATTAAACCGAAATTATAATCTTTCAAGCTTTCTTCATTCTTTTTTTTTTTTGACGATGTTAGTGGTCGACTGCTTTGGGATCATACAGATTTGCGATTCCACGAAGTGCATGCGAAATGCCAATCATAACTGCTCCCAATTGTGGATCGACCTTGGGGAGTAGCTACGATCAGCATTAATATATCCACACACCTAAGTCCACAACTTATAATAAATCCACACACCTAAGTCCAAATAATAATATTACTATTATTATAAAAAAAACACGGTAACAAAATGATGTAAATGCAATTTTACAAAAAAAGTGAAAAATGTTTGCGGAGCCCACCTAGCCGCGAGCCCTCCTAGGCACCGCCTGGTCAATTTTTTCAGTCAATTCATATAAATTGAAAGCGGTCGGAACAACACCTAGTGATTGGGCGGCACCTAGAGCTGCAAACGAGCCGAGCCGAGTCGAGCATTGGCCTTGTCGAGTAAAATTGATTTTTTTTTTTACCTGCTCGAGCTCGTCGAGCTCGATTTATTAGGCTCGAGCTCGACTCGATAAGAAAATATAATAGCTCGAGCTCAACTCGATATCAAATGCTTGAGCTCGGCTCGAAAACTTTTAAATGAATTACCATTAAACACTTGTGTTATACTATTTAAATATATATATATAAGATATATTTTAGTAATTTAATATATATATATATATATCGAGCCGCTCGACAATACAAAATATGGGCTCGAGCTCGACTCGAGTTCGTGCTCGAGTCGAACTCGAACTCAAGTCGAACTTTGACTCGAGCGCTCACGAGCGGCTTGTGAGCCGCTCGACTCGTTTGCAGCCCGCATAAAGGGCCACCTAAACCGTGTCAATGCTACAAACGAAGAATTGTGGCTGCATTTAAGGTTTATTGTATGGATGTACAAGAAAATGGCACACATTTCTAGGCTGGATGATAAAGCACTCATATGTTGATTTTTGTGTTTATGCATTTCGTGTAATAAATGCACTTTGTGGCCTGTCAAGATTATTGAGCAGTGGACTAACCTATCCAACACTATCCTTCCCGATGATGGTTTTTGGAATTAAATTGCTGCTTCATGAGCAGGGCTCATCTGCCAACTGACCCATTAAACATAAAGTCCACTCTATTGAAATTCGCAATTCTTATTGCATCTCCCATAAATGAAATCCACTTAACCCTTAGCTTGATTAGTGAAGAATAATGACTTTTATATAGATTATGGACATAAAAGGTTGTTTAAGCTATTTGCCTTGGCTAAACTTAGTTAAATTAGATTTGGTTAATAGAACAAAATTTCAAGTATGTTGTAAATTGGATTATGGATATCAATTCACACAAAGCAGGAAAGAAGATGAGAGAATGCAGAAAAATGTGTCATTTTAATGAGTACACAATCACATATACTAATCGAAAAATGCTACAAGTACATAATAAATGTACATAGAGGTGTACATAACACTCACATAGAATGAGATCCACTTGATTTTTTTATTTTTTTGTAGGGTCCACTTAATGTGAGTGTTATGTACACCTCTATGTACAATATTATGTACTTATAGAATTTCTCATGTCGACATAAATATACATATCACAAGATAAAATATTGTAAACTAGATCAAAACTTAAACAATCTCGGTAGTTCACGTATCTGAGTATCTTAATGGTTAGACACTCAATCTTCTAAAATGTGAACATACTTTCATACTCAAATATCATATTTTGAATTACAATACAGGTAAGAGTATGGTATTTATAAATATTCATTCTCGATTAAAAAAAATACATGATTTACGTTGAGATAGTTAAACATCTATAATTTATGAAATTACTTTGATTAGAAACATGTTCAACTCAATTTGATTAGGATCATTGCAGATCCAGAGGGTTCCACTGGGGCACGTGCCCCTCACTGGAGTTGGTCTACCTTAGAGTATTTGATTATTATTTATTAATTTCATTGTTCTAAAATTATAAAAATCATAATTAATTAGGTGAATTATTTTGCTAGGATTATTAGTATGAATTGGGCTGTAAAAGATATTAATATTTTATGTTTAAGAATCAAAAATCTCACTAATTGGCCTATAGTAGGAAAAAAAACTTTATTTTTCAAAAAGATTATAGATGTTAATTAAAAAATGACTTCTTTGAAGAAAAAAAAAATTAAAGAACAGATAAATTATTTGAAAATTTTAAAATTTTACTTTTATATCATACTTAGAAATATGTGTTTACAAAACTTTGTTCTCCAATTAACTTATTAAATCAATAAGAATGTATGAGAAAAATATTTGTTTACTACAAGGATAGTTTTTTTTTTAAAAAAAATCATGATTTCAATACTCGACAATGTTAACGTGCCCCCACTAAGATTTTTTCCTTCATCCGCCATTGATTAAGATTATGGTTCCACTTTTTATTGTATGTGCTAAATAAACGACACTCTTATATGCCATTATAGGGAAGGAATAAACTAACTAGTATATAACAAAATATAGGTTTGACATAGATTTATATCCATCCAATTAAATGAAACATAAAACAAATAAAAAATAAAATAAAATAGTGACCTCTTATTTTATCATCAATACAATTGTTATATAAATTGGGTTTCTTGCAAACGGTTCCTTCTCAAGCATAGTTGAGCGAGGCCCAAAAAAGAAGAAGCTCCGCAGGTCGAAGAACCGGCGGCGGTGGAGCCGCCGCCGGTGGCCGCGGCGGGAGGAGATCCGGGCGAGCGCCGTCAAATTGTGACCCTCTGTTTTCGTATCTATTCGGAAACTGTGGACAATGGCCCTTTTCTCGCAGATCATCCAACAATCCTTTTCTACCCCGAGCGCCGCCGTCCCGCCGACGCACAACCCCGCCGCTGATCCCGTTTCCGCCGCCGGTGGTCCCTGCTCCGCCGCAGATCGTGTTCCCGCCGCCCCTGATAGCGTCTCCTCCTCCGGCAGTCACTTTCCCCCCACCAATTGCCCCGTCTTCCCCGCCGCCGGCAGTCCCCGCACCGCCGCCGCTGGCTCCTCCGCCGTCACCCCCGGCCGCACCTCCACCGCAGGCGCCATCCCCGCCTCCTCCTTCTCCCTCGCCGCCACCGCCGCCGCTGGTCCCTTCTCCCCCACCACCCTCGCCGCCGTCGCCTCCGCCACCGGAGGTCATCCCCATAGTGTACCCGCCGCCGTTGGTCTCCTCCCCTCCTCCGGCAGACGACGCGCCGCCGGTGTTCCCCTGGCCCACGCCGCCCGAGGCAAACACAGACGCTCCGCCTCTGTTTTTCTCTCCCCCGCCGTCGCTGCCGGATATTGTGTTCCCACCACCGTTACCGGACACCCCGCCGGCAGATGATGAAGCTCTACCGGCGCCGCCGTTGTTCCCGGTGTTCGGCCCGCCTGAGGAACCGCCGCCACTTTCACCGGCAATTCCGTTCTCGTTTTTCCCTCCGCCCTCTCCGAATCCGCCGGCGACAGAGCCTGGTGTAGTTGAGACCCCGCAATTCCCGATCCCTCAGGCGCCGGAGTTCTTGCCGCCGCCGGAGATTGATCCGGTACCGTTCATGACAGCACCGCCGGCAGTGGAAGAGCAGCCACTGCCTCCGCCACTTCCTTTCGTACCTCCGGTTGATTTCACGGCGCCAGATCCTGTTTCTCCTCCTTTCAATTGACAAATTTGAAATGTTCTCCTTTTATCTCCCTCAATTTCTGTTTTTAATTAGTCTTTTGCTTGGTCCTGCATGTATTTGAAATCTTTAAACAGTATTTTAATTTGATATCACTTTAGATAATTATGCATATATTAATTTGGGAAGTCATACCTTTCTCACAATACAATTCTTTCTGAGTCATTCTAACAGTTGCCGGTCAATACGTCATATTTTAAGAAGACACATAAATACTTACTAGAATGTAACCCGTGCGATGCACGGGATGTAAAATTTGGAAGAATAATATATTTCACGTGCATTAGGATCGAAATTGAAATCATTAAAATACATAGGAACATTGTTGAATCATAAAAAGTTCGGTAACAATCATAAATTATAAAAAACCTCCTTGTACACAACATTATGAATTTGATTATTTGGTAACTCCTCATTATCACAAACTAATATTTTCAACCCCCTTCTATTATTTACACGCGAAGCAGCAACATATAATTGGCAGTGACTAAAAACGGGTTTCTTCAGGAAAAGACCAACGTGCGATAAAAAAAAAAAAAAAGAGTTTTTAAAAAAAGAGTTTTTAAAAATTGAAAAGTCAAGGCAATCAGTTCAGATTAATTAAAGGTCAAAGAATGTCTGCTCCTTGAAATAAAGACGTGTGTTATCATTAACCAAATATCCGGTTATTGATATAGAGTGGTTACCAAAAAATAGAACGCGATAAGGACGCTTCATGGAAATATCAATGGGATAAGGTCATAATAGATCGTTATACATTTTAACGATAAAAGCTCATATGGAATGATTTAATTAGATATGTGAAAAGGACATAATAATGAGAAGTGTGAAAAAGACATAATTAATGAGAAGTGTGAAAAGGACAAAAACTTACCGGTTTTGGAAAATATTTAATGCAAATCCGACATTGACCATAATTTGACCTACTATTTTGGATAAATGTTAATTCTTATTATATAAGTATAGATATTAAAGTGTCTCACTTCTAGAAAATATGTTAGTTTAATGGTTACGTTGGAATTGGATTAACACAACATAGACATGCCCAAGTCGGCCAGAATTGACCCGTATCTACGGGTCATTCAACTGGACCCGTCCTACAAATGGGTTGATTTCAAGTTTTAAATTTGTTTTAACCCGTTGATTTCGTTCCGGAAGACAGGTCCGAGTTTTGGACCTTTTTTATTTTTTATTTAATTTTTTAAAATTAGCAGGCCAGGTCAAAACCCATTCTGGGTCAAACCTGATCTCACTCAACGGTCACATTTTTTAAGCGTGTCGTCGAATCATTTGACTGTTGAGATCCAACGGTCAGCATCTGCCTAACCTTCCCGGACCCAACCGATCTCTGAC